AGATGGGGAAACGGGCCGTGGGTGAGACGGGGAGTCAGAGAGCTGGCGAGACGGGGAGATGGGCCGTGGGTGAGACGGGGAGTCAGAGAGCTGGCGAGACGGGGAGGCGGGCCGTGGGTGAGATGGGGAGTCATGGAGCTGGCGAGACGGGGAGATGGGATGTGGGTGAGACGGGGAGTCATGGAGCTGGCAAGATGGTGAGACAGGCCGTGGGTGAGACGGGGAGTCAGAGAGCTGGCGAGATGGGGAGATGGGCTGTGGGTGAGGCTGGGAGACGGACTGTGGGCGAGACGGGGAGACAGGCCGTTGTTGATACGATACGTTACAATGTGGGTCATTGGGTAGATGGTGCAACGAGGCTTTAGACGGTTGCGGCATGGAAGCGTGTGATCGATGGGGAGAGGAATTGCAGTACGGCCAAGGCAATAAGTCCTCCAGATCGTCCCAAGTTTTGGTCATGTTTCCAGCCAGACAAGCTTCATCAGAACCTAGAGAGAGAGAGAGAGAGAGACTGAGACTTTCGTAGGGTATGGAGGAGGAATGGGGAACAGGAAGGTAATGCTGTCTCACTACTGGGGAGGGGAAGATGTATCAAGGTGGGCCATACTCCTCATACTGACTGTGGATGATGCCGCTGTATATCTGTCGGGTTTTGAGAAATAATCTCAGTTCTTTGTACCTGTTCGCTCAGGCTGATCAGAGCCACTTCACCCATCGACATTTGAAACAATAAAGGTCAAATCTCCCCCTACACCACCCCCATCAGACACCCTCAGCCAGTCTAAGCCCCAGAGCAAAGCTCACTCAATCCTTTCTTAAAACTGAAAAGTAAGAGCTTCCCCTGACTTTTTAATCCAAAACGAAACTCCAGAGAAAAGCGGGAGACGAACATTGGCTTTTCTCGACTCTGCACCCACCCCACAACCAACCGCTCTGGGAATAAGGGGGCACCGTGGGGTCAAAATGTGGAAGAAATATTTCTCGATAAAATAACAGACCCCACAGCTCTTTCCGGGGCGGGGCGGGGAGGTTTGAAAAAGTGAAACACAAGGGGACATAAGCCAGCTGTCTGACATTCCGAGTCTCTGTATTCCCAGCCTCACTTCCCTCAGCAATTCCCGAGCGCGGAACCATTCCGACCCGGGAACTGACCCCTGCCCTCCATCCCATACCTATGCCACCACCACACCGCCGCACCCCCACCCAACCCACGTTTCATCCGTTGTGCCCCGTTGAGGCGCTCTCGAACTCTGAGTTCAGGGACAGAGCAGCACACACAGTTATCCAGAATACCGGAAGCTTTCCTGGAACTCCTTTACGGCACGGGAGTCACCAGCTAAAAAGTCCCAGCTGTTCCACCCTTCGCAAAGACGCATCTTTCCCGAAGTCGCATGTCTGTGCTCTTAACTTAGCGTGCCCAGATACTTTTCAAATTAGTCGTGTGCCAGATTTTTATGTGGTGCCATATGGATCTCTTCGATGCTAAACACTTGCAAGAAAAAAGTTTGTTTTAATTTTATCCTTTGGGGCTAATTATTTACAGGTTACTTTATGTAACTACTGCTGTTCTTCGGTTAAAGCACGTGGTTCCATCTACCAACACAGGAGTGAATTTCCACCCTCATCCAAGTGCCCCTCAACAGAAGGCACCTACCAACCAAAGGTAGCTTCACTCTGTATCTAACCCCATACTGTCCCTGTCCCTGGGTGTGTTTGATGGGGACAGTGTAGAGGGAGCTTTACTCTGTATCTAACCCCATGCTGTCCCTGTCCTGGGAGTGTATGATGGAGGGACAGCGTAGAGGTAACTTCATGCTGTATCTAACCTCGTGTTGTCCCTGTCCTGGGAGTGTTTGATGGGGGGACAGTGTAGAGGGAGCTTTACTCTGCATCTAACCCTGTGCTGTCCCTGTCCCTGGGAGTGTTTGATGGGGTGGGGTGGGGAGAGGAGACAGTGTAGAAAGGGCTTTACTCTGTATCTAATGCCCTGCTGTATCTGGCCTGGGCGTGTTTGGATCAGCTCCCCTTTTCCCACACTGCCTTCTTTAATCTTGGCTAGCCAAGTACCTTGGTCAGTTAGGTTTTCCAACTGGATCCAGTGCCATCTGGAGGTGGAGGCGGCAGGGTAGGGGAGCGGCAATGCAGGCGATGGTGAGTATGAGAACTGGGATCCACACATTTCTCGCTAACATTGAAACACTCACAAAAGGCAGCCCGTGCCTAATGAACTACCAGCGTCGGGGTGGCATTAAGTGCCTACCTTCTTGGGCCAGCTCTCGGTTGTTGTCCTCTTGCCAGACGCCTCCGTTGGGTTGCAAGCCAGTTTCTCCCGCCTCCTCCTCCTCCTGCCCGACCTCGGTCGGGCTCCCTTGGCCGGCTCTCTCGTCAGCGGGCACAGGGGTAGGTGCTGACCCGATCAGGGCTGTGCCATCGCTGGGGCCACCCACCTCGCTGCGACACTCCGAAGGCCCCAGGGCCTGACGGGCGTCCAACGTGTCGGCGGCGGCTTCCTCCACCGCGCCCCCCTGACCTCCGACCTCACGGCCCGGCGGATCCCTTTCCGATCTCGGTTCGGCCGCGAGCGCCGTTGTAGATCCCGGTGGCCCGGCCGAAGACGGCTGCTCACCCCGAGGGCGTTCCCTCTCGGTTACCGATCGCCCCTGCTCAGTAAGTGATCGGTCGGTTCCCGCCGTTGGAATCTCCCGCTCGGCGCATGGCAGCTCCGCCCTAAAGGCCAATCTGTCCTGGCCAGCCAATGGAGGTGGAACAGCAGCCGATCCCCACCGCTCGGCCAACGGCAGCTCCGCCCCGACTACTGACCCACCCTGCCCGGCCAATGGCCCTTCCAGTCCGAGCGGCAATCTGCCAGGCTCGGCCAATGACGTTTCAGCGCCAGCCGATTCCTCCGCACCAGCCAATGGCTCGGCGGCTCCAACCGTCGGCCTCGGCTCTCTGGCCAATGAGGTCCCAGGCCCGATGGTGCCGCCATCCCGCTCGACCAATGGCAAGCCAGTCCCGCCGACGGGTTCCGCCAGTAGCTGCCCGCCCCCAGTCGACTCCCCCGGCTCAGCCAATGAGCGCACGCTGCTGCTGACCGACGCCCCCTGCCCGGCCGACGACGGTCGGCTCCCGACGATTAGCCCGCCCCGCTCAGCCAATGATACGCTCTGCCTGGCCGACGGCGCACCGTCACCTGACCCTCCCTCCGCCCGCCGATTGGAGGGCCGCGGGACGGGCTCAACGTCACGGACTCCCCCCCAGTCGGGAGGGCCGTCGGGCTCCGTCTCCCCGGGCGACTGGGCCCGGCCCACGTGGGCCCGAAGGACCGCGCGCAGCGGGGCGTCGACGCCTCGCCGACCGTTCCCCTCCCCCTCCACACCGCACGCGCCCTGGCGGCGCCTGCGCCGCGGCTGGTGGACCCACGCCCTGTGTTGCGCCTGCGCGGCCCTCCTTCGACGCCCCACCCGGGGGCCGACGGCCGGCAACGTGCTGGAGCGCAGGCGCGGTCGCCTGGTAGCGGCGGCGGCGGCGTCGTCCGTCGTCATTCGAGCGTCGGCTCGCGTGGTAATTTCCCGAAGCTCGACGTACTCTCCACCTTCGCCGCCGTCCTCGTGTTCCTGGTAAGTCGGATCCCGCCCGTCCCGTTCTCCGTTGTTTTTGTCGGTGGAGGAGGAGGAGGCGGCGGCGGGTCTGAGATGAAGGGAGTCGTCTCCTTCCTCGGGCTCGGCAGCCGCCCCGTCACCCGAAGCCCGGGGCCGGCCGGCGGTGGCCGCCGGATCGCGCAGGCGCGGGCAGACCAGGCGGGACCAGCGCATGCGCCGGAGCCGGCCGCCGGCAGCGGCCAGCAGGCAGTTACTGAGTCTGCGCGGGGGCCGGCCGCCCCGCCCATTGCCGCCGCCGCCGCCCCCCTCCTCCTCCTGCAGCTCCCGGTTGACGCCGTCCAGCCACTCGGCGGTGAAGAGGTGGGGGTAGGAGTCCTCGGGGATCGGCACTTCGATTATCCCCCCGCCCTCCTCCTCTTCCTCTTGCTCGACGCCCCAGGCCCGGCACTTGAGCAGCAGCGTCGCTCCGCGGGAGCCTCGCGGCGCCAGCTGCAGGTAGAAGTCCTCCGGCTGCAGCGCCCTCCAGTCCAGCGCCGAGAGTTGCACCACCAGCTGTTCCCCCAGGCACAGGGGCCAGCCCTGGTGGAGGAAAAGGCAGCCTTGGTATTCAGCCTGGAGGGAGGGAGGGAGAGGGGAGAGAGTGTCAGGCTAGTCGGAGATCACCACCACACCCTCACAATGTCGTAGCCCA